TCTCCTCCTCCTCCTGCTCCTCCTCCCCCTCATCCCCCTCATCCCCCTCATCCTCCTCATGCCCCTCCTCCCCATCACTCTCATCCCCATCTGAGTCCATCCAGGAGTCCAGGTCACCCCCATCACCTCCCCATGCGTCCAGGTCACCCCCAACCCCACAGCCTCTGAAAATGCTGGCAAGAGCGGCAGCAGCAGCAGCAGCAGCAGCAGCAGCATCCCCAGCAGCAGTAGTAACACTTACGTCTGATGAGTGACTCGAAGCAGATGGGGGGACAGGGACAGCTCGAGCGACAGAGAGCGTGCGCCAAACCCCTGGCTCTGCTGATGGCTCTGCTGATGGCTTTCCTGCCCGTCCTCTGCCCCTCCACTCCCCACCAGTCTAACCGCCCCTCCCCGTCATCCCCCTCCAGCATCATTCCTATCATTGCATCTTCCTCCTCCTGCGCCTCCTGCGCCTCCTGCCCCTCCTGCCCCTCCTGCCCCTCCTGCCCCTCCTGCGCCTCCTGTTCCTCGTCGTCTCTCTCCTCTGAACAGAGCGAGAAAACTAGGGTTCGCGTCGCTCCTGCAGGAGAGCGCGAGCGTGCGGCGGCTGCATCACCTGTCACCATCCCCGAGCCTCTCTCGCCCGCCTGCGCCGGCTGCATCGCCTGCGCCTGTTGCCCTAGCCGCGATTGTTCCGCGCCCTCTATAACGCCGACCCGCGAATTCCCCTGCCCTCTCTGCTCTTCCCTTGGCTCGTCACCGCCTCGCTTCGTCTCCTCCTCGGCCCGTGCCTCCCTCGTCTCACCTTCCCTGGCGCCTAGTACCGCATCGGCTCCTCTCAGCAAACCCCTGCTACCGCCTTCGTTACAGTCACCTCTCGCGCCCGCGCACTTGCGCGCGCGCGCGGAAGCTCCGCCGCGCTTGGAGACGAAGCACTGCGGCCAGCTGCGCGAGCGGTGCATGCTGCAGAACCCCCGCTTCCCCCCTTGCGGAACATGCGCCTCCGGCTGCGCCTGCGCCTGCGCCGGCTGGCGCAAGCGGCCGCTTCCTTCCGCAGCTCCTGATTCCGCGCAAGCGGGAGAAGCGCCGGGTGCGGAGCGCCGCCGCCGCGGCTGAACCTTCCCGCTGGTCCCGCTTCTCCGACGATCCTCTTCCGCCAATCCCGCCGCCGCGTGCTGCAGCAGCAGCTGCCCCAGCGACGTCCGCTGCGCGACGCCATACCCATCCAGAAAGCAATGCCCTAACTCCTGTAACGCGGGGAGGAATCCGAGGCGCGCGGCGCGCCAGCTCAGCTCGACACCGACCTCAGGATTGGCGTCTTCCGCCGCGCCGCCGCTGCCGTGAAAGTTGATCATCGCGAGCGAGTACATCGCCGCGCCGTGCCCCGCCTCCGCCGCCTGCGCGAGGAGCTTTGCGCCCGCCCAGTGGTTGTTGAGGCAGTAGAAGGAGATCTGCGGAAGGAAGGGGGAGGAAGGCGGAAGGAATGCGGAAGGAATGCGGGGAAGGTGAGCGAGGTTCGACCCAAGGTAGATCCGGGAAGCGACGGAACAGACGAAGCGGGTTGGTTAAAAAAATGTTCGAACGCGGGGGATGCGTCCATCACTGCGGGGGAATTAGACCGGAAAATCGGGGTAAAATAGGGAGAGCTGACGAGACGCGCAATGCCGACTCACCATGCCCACGACGTAAATCGCCTCGAGGTTTCCCTCCGCCGCGGCGCTCAGCAGAAGCCGCTGCGACGCCGCCGTCCATCGCGCCGCGTCCGCCGGCAGCAGCATTTCGACGGCGGCCGAGGCGCGAAGCGACCAGCTCGCGGCGGGATGACATACGGCGCTGAACCGCCGGCACGTCACGAGCATCCCCGCAACGTCCGCCGCCGATTGCGCTTTGGCGAAGACGCAGCGCGCGATTTCCGCGACCAGCTCGTCGGGCACGCGATCGAAGTGGCACGTGCGACGCGTCGCTGAGTCGCAGCCATCCCCGGCGACGGCTCGCTGAACGTCGCGCGAAAATCTATGCTCTTGGGGCGCCGCACCGGCGAAAATCGCTGGAATCCCGGCTTTATCGAAGGAAGGAACTGGCTTCGGGATGCTGGTGCACTGGAGCGATGGAACGCCGAAGAATGCGGGCTGCGAATACGCGAACTCATTAGGACCGAGCTTCACTCGCTTGAGAGTCTCCATTTCCTCCCGAAGGGAGAGGACTTGGGTGCCTAGGCTGAGGGCTAGTCGAATACGAACGCTCTTCTGATTCAGTTGTTAATATTACTCTCTTGCACTGTGCGCTATTGTACCGTATTCAAAGAATGACTGTGCAATAAAATTTACAACCGAAGATGACTGCCGTTGCGATAGTGACTTGAGGATTTGAGGTGAGGAGGAATGAAAACTGCAGTCTCACTCAGACTTCTACCACTCGCTACGTCGGGTGAAAAATGAAATGCTTCTCGCCGTCCCTTGTATATGCGCAGACCTCCAATTCGCTGCTCTCGTACGGTGGTGGTGCGGTGTGCCCTACCCAGGCGTTTGGTTCAAAGCTTTGCCTTGCTTTCAGTCCTTAGCTTTGCCGTACTCCAGTCCACCCAGGGAGAGTGGGAGAGCAAGTGCTAACCACTCAGCCATCCCGTGCCACATTTCGTTGCGCTGGTCGTCAACGTCTGCAATACCGCGGCAAAACTATCTGAACCGAGAGAAAACGAGACAACTGGAACCGAATCTGAGGCACGCGCCATGATTTGGCTCTCAGTGATGCCAGGCAGGCATTTAGGGACGACGCGCATTTGACTTGCGCGTGACTGCTGGTTCACATCCGCACACAGAAAGCAACCAATCGGCTGCGTTTGTTCCACAGGTTGACTGCTGATCGAGCGGTGTGTGTGAAGCCATCTCGCTGCGCCTGATGTTTGCGGGCGGGCGGGAGGAAAGTGCTGCCCCCGCGCTGCATCCTGAGTTTGGAGGAAATCGAATCGAAATGAGCCTTTCCGCTTGCCAGTGCTGCGCCGTATCCCTCCATAGTGTGACGGCGAGCGCTTGCGGGAGGCGGATTCGGCGCCAGCTTGCTTCACTCGTCGTGTAGTGTTGCATGGAAAGCATTGACAGAAATATCAAGGCGAATAAGAGCGTGTCCAAAGTGCTATTTGTCATCCGTTCTGTCATCCAACGGATAACAGCGGATGACAGAGCTGTCACCCGTGGATGACACAGGTCTGTCATCCGCGGATGACAGAGAGTGGAGAATTGCACTTTGGACGCTTACAGTCTAAGCAATCACCACGTGCCGTTTGCGGGCGGCTACGGGCAGACAATTCGAAAATCAAAATATTTGACTAAAAAGTTACGTTTTCGCGGGCCCTACCTCGTAGGTTTCGTCAACCTCGAAACAGGCAGCTGAAACGTTTTCGTTGGCGATTCGCCAGCATTGCATTGTGTCGCATGCATGTGCGAGTTTCGAGGGTTGCTCCTAGCTGTATTTCGCAACGCGTGTTTTCGTGCGTTGGCGCCAAAATTGACTGTAGATTTTGGCGTGCATTGACCCGTTATCCTGCCCGACCAGGCTGTTTCGGTTTATTGGGCTGTAGCCTGTCATCCGTTCTGTCATCCATTTGTCATCCGTTCAGCCAGGATCGCTGCACAGCACTTTGGACGCGCCAAAACTACTTGTTCCTTCTGTCATCCGTTCTATCATCCGCTGTCATCGCCGTCATCCGCAAAATAACACTCTGGACACGCTCTAACAAATGTTCGCCCAGGAGCTTTGCGAACTTTTGCGCGAAGAAGCTGAGGCAACCTACGACACTACCGACAAAAATGTACTCTGCACCACTGCAGTGCACACCTGTTGGGGAATGGGATGGAAATCCAAGAGGAACTTTGTGACGAGGCGCCAAATACGATATGATCGCCGGGAATGAGATTGCACTCGATGATTCGTTGGCGTGCTGCTTCAATCGGCGGCAGCACAGAACCAGGCTTCAGCACGACCACAGATTGTTTCCGCTGGTCCGAGACAATGGAGGACGCTTGTCTGTTCTACTTGTGACAAATTAGTTTTCTTTCTCTGTCAGAATCGAATGTCCAAAACGTTCCTTGAAGTTCCATATATATTGCGGAAATAGCAGGGTTGGGGTTTCAAATCATAATAAAAAACCCTCTATGATTTCTTCTCAGAGCATCCCCACAATGATTGTTTTCCCATGTTGCTGCCACAGATTCTGATGTTTGATCCCAAACCTAATCTTCGAATCTTAAAAATTGGCATGGCGGTCCAACCAAGAAAACCGTCATGACTTGGCATCTTCTCTTCAGATCTAGGCAGATCGCACGAGATTGAAATGCCATAGAAACCGCGTTTGCAGGAACCGAAACCGCGTGCCGACGACCAATGAATCGTCTCCTAGGCGTGTCGTCGTGCTTGTCACCAGCCTGCCTTGAATGGGCAGGTGGGCTGTCTCGTCTGTCTCACTTGAATGTGGCCACGTCTGGCCAACTGTCACCAGCTCTGCGTTGGTCTGTCATTATGGACGGTTGCATGCTTGTTCCTCGGTCCCTCTATCTGTCGTAGCGTAGGGTGCACCGAAGGCGGCCTCCTGTGAGCATACACCTTTTACCCTCTATGGTTTCACCTCTAACAGTCCAAATTGCAATCTCACCTACCAGGTTCTCAACATGACTCGCGTTGACACTGAACCTGATTGGCTGCAGTCTGAACGATAACGAACTAGCAAGTTGTATGTCAACAATTGCGAGATTCATAGCTGGAACGTCGCGCGGGCAACAAAGTCCCGTTTGCCCGTGTTTTACAATTTCCTGCTTACAGAATTGAGCCGCGTGCAAAAACCATGGGACTAAATAGAAGAACAGGTGTACATCATTGGCAAAATCCTTCAGATTGTGGTACTCGCACTGTATTTTTGCCAATCTGATGCTACTGTGAGATTTTTTTTTGTCAAATCTGTAGGCTTATCTCTGGCCACTTGTCTAGCATGAAGTCCATGGCAAGCTCCTAGCGTGACGTTTCACTCACACCACCAGAAACTTGCTAACGAAATTTGATCAGGACGAATGGACAGCCAGACAATCAGGAAGTGTCGATTGATACCACATCATAACTGCACTGTGTAGCCAAATGAAAAACATAACGTTCGATCTAGATACAAGCCAAGCTAATGTCCTGATCCCATTCGCTAGCGGCCACCAGCAACACTTCACCCATTTAGTCCCGCTCGCTAATAGCCGTTAGATGCGCCTCGATCTCATCCACAATGAGTGTTCGGAAGGCCGTCTCCTCCTTGGCTTCCACCAACCCCACCTGAGGGAGCATACGGGTGCAAGAGCGCAAGGGCAAAGGGGCGCAGGGGCACAGGGGCACAGGGGCACAGGGGCACAGGGGCACAGGGGCACAGGGGCACAGGGGCACAGGGGCTCAGGGGCACAGGGGCATAGGGGTGCAATAGGGCACACGGGTGCAAGAGTGCATGGGCATAGGGGCACAATAGGGCACAAGGGTGCAAGAGTGCACGGGCATAGGAGCACAATAGGGCACAAGGGTGCAAGAGTGCACGGGTATAGGGGCACAATAGGGCACAAGGGCAGAGTAGAGTACAAGGGCACAAGGAATCGAAGGAATGCTTGCTTCGTACAGCAATTGAAACCACAGGGAGTGTTCGACAAACCTGTCCCCACTCTGCCTTCCACCGGACCCACACCGCCTACAGGGGATGCGGAGCAAGTATTGATCTAGTTTTGAGGCGCTTCAAAACTGAGGCGCCTCAAAACTAGACTTCAACCGCAACCCACCTTCACCCCCCTCACCTCGATCTCTGTGGCTTTCATGTCCTCCGAGAGCACGCCTTGAAGGGCCGAAATCGCCAGCTGAGGGGGAGAGGTAGTAGGGCGGGGGTGGGGGGAAGGGAAGAAGGGACAGGAAGGCAAACGTGCACCAAGTGTCCTGACGCTGAGGGCCTTGGAGGGCACCAGGTCTCTACAAGCACGCCTTGGAGGGCCGAAATGGCCAGCTGAGGGGGAGAGATGTAAAGAGGAGAGGGGGAGTGGGAGGGAGAGAGGGAAGGGGGGAGAAAGGGAACGACTAGAAGGGGGAGAGATGGGAAGAGGGATGGGAGAGAGAGGGGGAAAGAGTTGGCTGAGATGGCTGACATGGCTGAGATGGCAAGCTGAAAGGCAACAAGTGGGCCTGTGCGTGGAAACGCAGTGGAGCGTGGTGAAATGTGGTGGATTGCGGTGCTGCGCTCAACTGCACTCCCTCGTCTGCTGTCAGGTTTTGGAGCTTTTCATTCTTGAGCTTCATTCCATGACACGGTGCAGTGCGGTATAATGAGGTACTACAGGGAGCAACGCTCACCTGCACCGCCTTGTCTGCTGTGAGGTTCTGGTGCTTCCCATCTTTGAGCTTCTTCTCCCCAATGCTCATTGGTGCTGCACGGTGGAATGTCGTGCCATGAAGTGATGTGCGGTGAGAAGTGGTGCTGTGCGGTTCTGTGCGTTTCTGTGTGGTTCTGTGCGGTTCTGTGCAGTGCTTAGCTCACCTGAACCGCCTCGTCTGCTGTGAGGTTCTGGTGCTTCCCATCCTTGAGCTTCTTCTCCAGAAAGTTTGTTGCCTCCTGCTCCTTGGCGCCCGCTCCTGTGGCCTACGGGGGGGGAGAGGGGTGGGGGGAGGGGGGGAGGGGAGGAGCGCACACGTACACAAGCTAGTTGAGGTCAAATAGATGGCAAGTTTGTTGCCTCCTGCTCCTTGGCGCCCACCCCCATCGCCCGGTGGGAGGGGGAGAGGCGGGGGAGAGGCATCCACCGCACACACCTATGTTATGTTTGAACATGCACATGCCAAGTTGATCGCCTCCTGCTCCTTGGCGCCCGCGTCTGTCGCCTGGTGGAAAGGCGGAAGAAACGGACTACGCACAGGTGATGCACTATGCACATCCACACACCCTCTCTGTGTAAGTAGTTTAGTTTCGAGACGCCTCAAACTAAACTACTTAGACATGCAAAGGTGATGCACTGTGCACATCCATACATCCATGCACATCCATACACCCATGCACATCCATACATACACCCATGCACAGCCGTACGCCCCTGCACAGCCATACGCCCCTGCGCATCCATACGCCCATGCACATCCATACGCCCATGCACATCCATACGCCCATGCACATCCATACGCCCATGCACATCCATACGCCCATGCACATCCATACGCCCATGCACATGCATACGCCATGCACAGCCGTACGCCCATGCACATCCGCACGCCACGCCCTCTCTTAAGCTCAAACGGCCCTGCCTGGACATTGATAGAAACCTGGGCACTACAAGGTGACATTTGAGTCGACTCAAAACGACTCTTGAGTCGACTCAAAACTCACCTCATCACATTGATAGAACCTGAGTGCTAAAAGCTGCTGGAATTTCCCTCTCTCAAACACTCACCCTCCCCCTCACAAACACGTAGCAACCAGCAAAACGAGAACCCTGGCTGTTACTCGTCATGACAACTTGTAACGGCATCGCACACACCTTGTAATCTGGTAACCACACTGACCTTGTAACCGACGTAATAGCCAGCAGGGTCGCACTTGTAGAGCATGGGGCCGAACTCGTCGTCGATACCAATTAGCATGGTGGCTGGTGCGTGGGGGAAGCGGGGGGGGGAGCAGGAAGAAAGGCATTGAACGAGGGGGCATGAGAGGACTGGGATTGGGGCTGGGTCGTATTTGTAGAGCATGGGGCCGAACTCATCGTCGATACTAGTGAGCATGGTGTCTGTGAGCGATGGGGGAATAGTGGGCAGAAGGGATGGAAATTTGAGTTGAAAGGGGGTTGGGGCTGGGTCGCACTTGTAGAGCATGGGGCCAACACATTGTCGATGCCAATCAGCATAGTGCCTGGTGGTGTGGGGGGGTTTGAAAAGGGGGAGTGAGGGGAAAGGCTGGGAAGCGAAACATGGGGAGACAAAGCTTAAGCCACATTTGGCATGAGGTTTGGTTGAAGTACATGAATGATGCAAAGTCATCATGCTAGTTAGGGGTTTGATACCAGGACAGGAATGATGCCGATATGTGTGAAGAGGTGGTATACACATTTTATACAAAACAAATTTGCATTTCATGTGTTTCTCACCCTCGATGAGATTGTGGTAACCGCGTAGGCTTCAAGGTTGGTGGCGAAGCGTTTCCTTGGGTGCGGTGCGAGTGGAAGGAGATTGTGTACTGGTGGTTTGAGAGCAACATGCTTCTTAAGACTTGAGAAAAAATAATGAGTGCTTTACCATTCTGTAGAAACTCATAAAGAACGAACTCGAGTCTCAAAAAGCACATCGCCCTCAAACCACCAGTACACCGTCTCCTTCCACTCGTACCCAAAGAAACGCTTCGCCGCCAAACTTGGTGCCCGTGTGGCTACACTTAATCTCGTCGATGCTAACAAAAATATACAGAAGTCCAAAGTCTTTTGGCTCAAAATTCGCGTTCACAAACTTTTTACACCTACCCCTTGATAGGGTTGAGCAGACCCGCTACCCAAATACCCGACAAAATGTCAAGTCTCGCGTGACCCAACAGGTCGAGACCCAATTTCGGGTCACACGACGTGAACAAGCACTATCCTTTTCGCGCCGGTTGGGAAATTTCGACCATATGGCCGACATTTCTAGCGACGGCTCCTTCGTTTGTACGTCTTTCCTCGAGTGTCTATGACTGCAACCGTGGGCTGGCTGCCTGATATTACAAGGTCCTCGAGGCAGACATGAGCAAAGGACGAGGCGAACTCGCCTCGCCGAGGGTCATACTCACCGGGTATTAGTAATAGGGCGATGCGACATTACTCGTTAGAGTAATTTTGCCCGCCTTTCCGTGCGAGTACTCTTTTACTCGTCCCGAGATACGTATTATTCGCCTCGAGTTGCTACCCCCCCCCCCCTGGGACGCCCTTTACAGTCCTACTTTCAAGATTGTCGCGGATCTGGTAAGAAACGACTGAACCGGACGAACCTGGCTAGCGAAATGCGAGATCCGCGCGGTTTTTTTAGGCGAGCAAGTGACGCGCGTTTGACGCGCGTTTTTTCATTCGTAGACGAGGCGAGCAATTGTAACGAGGTGACTTTTGAGTCGACTCAAAAGTAACCTCGTTCACTCGTGGGCGCGCAGATAAGTGGATTTCTTACTCGCCTCAACGCTTATGTCTACCTGGAGGGATGGTGAAAGTAAGAGACGAGAGGAACGGATGGTGAAAGCTGGATGGTGGTTGGATGACCGGAAGGGAAGGGAGATGAAGAGAGGGGAAGGGAAGCGAAGGGAAGAGGAGGTGGGGAAGAAGGGAAGGCATGTGCTTGGCATGTGCATGACATGTGTGGGACATGTGCTTGACATGTGTGGGACATGTGCTCAACATGTGCTTGACATGTGCGGGACATGTGCTCAACATGTGCTTGACGTGTGCTTGGCGTGTGCACAACATGTGCTTGACGTGTGCTTGGCGTGTGCACAACATGTCCTTGACGTGTGCTTGGCATGTGCACAACATGTGCTTGACGTGTGCTTGGCGTGTGCAAAACATATGCTTGATCTAAGCAATAAGAGCCACTCACCCACTCCCAGGGGTCGCATGTACGCCTGCTGTGTGTACACTTGAGCCATGTCCGCCAATCTGCAGTGACCCAAGAAAGGATGGGGGGAGGGGGGAGGGGGGAGAGGAGAGGGGAGAGGGGAGAGGGGAGAGGGGAGAGGGTATAATACCTTATAGTGAGATACTTCACAAGCACATCGTATTCGCGCTTAACTCGGACCCCAGCAGTTGAGTGGCGGGCGCTTATCGGACAACACTTACACTGCCGTACCACATAGTACCTTCCAGCACGGGAGCCATAGGGGCGATTTAAGAATTCTTAAAATAAATCTATCACAGGCAATTTGCAGATTTGCGGCGAGTCCTCAGCAGCCACCTTGTACAATACTTGCATCATTGAATGATCATAACGAATCACCTTCTAGCGAGGTAGTAGTCCACAGACACATCTTTTCCCATGTTGATTCAGAACCCTGCAGCCTCCCAGCGAGTGCCTCTAAGCGCAGAGCAGCCAGCCAGAATTAGAGCCAAACGATACAGCTCCCTGGTAACACAGCCAGCAGGAATACTGCACACTACCACACGCCACCACACATCACCGCATACTACCACACAACACAGTACCTTCTAGCGAGGTAGTCCACAGGCACGTCATATCCCAGCTTGGCGCGAAACTCTGCAGCCTCGTGGCGAGCCCTCAGCAGTAACGTTGCACAAAACCTTGTAGCAATCTAATCTCTATTCCACAGCAACATAACGAATCACCTTCTAGCGAGGTAGTCCACGGGCACGTCATATCCTAGCTTGAAGCGAAACTCTGCAGCCTCGTGGCGAGCCCTCAGCACCAGAGACCTGGCGTCGGCTGGTGGTGGATGAGGGGGGGGGTGGGGGGATGTGGGAGAGGGGGATGGAGGAGGTGAGGGGTGTGAGGGTTTGGGGTTTGAGATGCCTCGTGGCATGCCTGTAGCACCAGAGACCTGGCGTCGGCTGGTGGTAGGTGAAAGAGAGGAGAATTCGGAAGGGGTTGAATTATCGGAAAAGAGAAGTTTCTTGGAAACCCCTCAGCAAAAGAGCTTGAGCGTTGGCTGGTGGTGGACGGGAAGGGATGCGTGATTCATTTATTTTATTCATTTATTTTATTCATTTATTTTTTTATCTCTCACGAATGGGAGATGTGATGTGCGACACAGAGGGCGAGGGAATGAGGCGTTGGTGGTTAGGTTAGAGCGCATGGAGGAAAAGAGGAAAGGCGGAAGAGAGAGGAAGAATGGAAGGAGGAGGACGGAAGGAAGAGATATAGAGAACAGAGGATTGAAATCAACCTCCAAAGCAACTGCGTGGAGAGTAAACAATACAGCTTCAGGCCTGTCGCGAGGTTGAAAATACCGTTGGTACCTGGATACAGGTTGGTAACGCTGGTCAAATGTAGCAACCCGACCACTGCTCTCACCTGTCAGTCCTGTAGCGAGCATGCCAATGCCCTTGGTAACTGGGTACAGGTTGGTAACGCTGGTCTCGTCTGTCAACTTGTCCTGATACCAGGCAATCAAGACCAACAACCGGGGAAGGAAGCGGGGAGCAGCGAAGCCAGAGAAAGCACCTTTGAAATCACCAATCCACAGCTACTGGAAACGCAAGAAGAAAGAAAGAAGGAAAGGAGAACAAAAGCACTCGGGAAAGAACTCACAGGAACCTTCTTCTGCGTGACAAAGCACACCGAGTCCTTGCCGCGCACGGCAATAGACGTGACGCCCACCGACTTCACTGCTTTGAAAGCATACTCTGATGAGGATAAGGGGGAAGGGAAGCGAGGGGATGGGGAGGAAGAAACAAGTCTAAGGCCGATCTTCTGCGTGACAAAGCACACCGAGTCCTTGCCGCGCACGGCAATAGACGTGACGCCCACCGACTTCACTGCTTTGAAAGTATACTCTGATGAGGATAAGGGGGAAGGAAGCGAGGGGATGGGGAGGGAGAAACAAGTCTAAGGCCGATCTTCTGCGTGACAAAGCACACCGAGTCCTTGCCGCGCACGGCAATGGACGTGACGCCCACCGACTTGACCGCCTTGAAAGCATACTCTGGTAAAGTTAGGGGAGAGGGGAGGAGGGCAACGGACGGGGAAAGAGGGAGGAGGGAAAGGACGGAAACGGAGGTAGACAAGGGGCCGGAGGGAGGAGACGGCCTGATTCAGAGGTCATAAAAAAATCTGGCCTAAACCGACTTGGTTGGTTGCCTTGGAGGCAGACCCAGGGAACGAACAGCGGAGAGAGCGAGAGAGGGGGCAGGAAGGAGGACGGAACGGGAGGGCCGCGGGGGGTTGGTGTGTATGGGGGTGGGGGGAGAGTCGGCGGGAAGTGCGAGTGAGGATGGGGAAGGGGGAGGAAGGAGGGTTGAATCGGCACGTGGAGGGGGCGCCGCAGAGGAATGCAGGGAGGTGTTGTTGGGTGGCCAGACGCGGAAGAGGCGCGGATGCAGGGATGAGTGACGCATGGGCGCGAGACAGCAACAGGAAGCGAGGCGCCACGGAGACACCGCGAGTGGTGAGTTGATGCAAGGAATTGACGGGCAGAGGGGAGAGGAGGATGGGTGATGAGGGTCAGATAAATTTCCTTCGTAAGGGGATCTGTGGGTCACGAGAAGAAGGGTGAGGAGACGAGTCAACTTTTGAGGCGCCTCAAAACTATGGGGATCTGTGGGTCACGGGAAGAAGGGGGAGGAGACGAGTCAACTTTGGCGGCGTGCAGGCGAGAGACTGGTGATGTGAGGGATTGAGGGAGGGAGAGACATGTGGATCGTGCGAGAGGGAGCCGGGGAAACAAGATGCCATGTCGAGGCGGTGACGAACCAACTTGGTAGAGGCGGCCCGCAGGCGGGAGGATGGGGTGATGTGAGGGATAGAGGGAGAGTGGAAGAGCGAGGGGAGCCGGAGAGACAAGGGCGTGGTAAGAGACAAACCAACTTGGTAGAGGCGGCCTTCGGGCGAGAAGATGGTATGTGGGGAAGGAAGAGGGAGGGAGGAGAGGAGAGGAGAGGGATAGAAAGCGAGAAAGGGAGAGGGAGCAAGGGGGCAAGGGGGCACGGGGGCAAGGGGGCAAGGGGCACGGGGGCACGGGGACAAGGAGACAAGGGGGCAAGGGGGCAAGGGGGCAAGGGGGCAAGGGGGCACGGGGGCAAGGGGGCACGGGGGCAAGGGGGCAAGGGGGCACGGGGCACGGGGGCACGGGGTCACGGGGGCACGGGGGCAAGGAGACAAGGGGGCAAGGGCGTAGGGACGAACCAACTTGGTAGAGGCGGCCCTCAGGCGGAAGATGGTGATGTGGCGGTCGTACCCCGCTCCAGATCGCGACTCATGATGACGTTGAGGAGGATCCGTTATAAGCACACTGCAGCCGGTCAGAATTTGATACAAGCACACTGCAGGCAGTCAGAATTCGTTACAAGCACACTCCAGGCTGGCAACACGGGCCAAAAAAACGGCATAGCGACTCGGCGTATACATATCCGACAGAAAATTCTCCTGTTTCGTCACGAATCTCTCGTTTTAGCCGGGAACCAGTCCGCAGACGCGAGATGCAACGCGTGAATCTATGGCCGTCGATTACGAATTCAGGCATCTAGAGGGCAGATTCTGCAGGCTTCCGTTTCGACGTTTTGGCAATATCGAGATATCGCGGAAGATCGCCTATACAAACGAGGTCGCGTCGACAGCATCGGCACAAGCCAACATGTCGTCAAATTCGGATTTAGCTGGCAAAGGAATCACGGCGGATTCGAAACAGAATCAGGTGGAGTCGATTAGAAACCGAATCAGGTGGAGCCTGCCTCGACTTCCAGTGAGACTAACCTCGCTTTGATTGAACCCGCTTGATCGTCGCTTGGGAAATGGATCGATCGAGCTCCTGTGGAAATTCGATGGCCAAGCGTAGATCGCAACCTAGATCAAGGAATGGAATGATCGGGAGCTAAGAAGATAACTGGAGGCGCATTTGGTTCTAGATTCAAGAGACGATTTGTTGCTTAGGCCGCGATACACGACCCTGATTTCCAGGGTCGACGTCAGCGAACCGATGTTTTACCGTACTGAAGACCTCACTAGCCTATGACAATCTCTTTGCTAACCCTTGAGGATCCGCAACCCTGGAAAACAGGGTCGTGTATCGCGGCCTTAGGGTGGGGTGGGGTGGCAATTGCTGGTTGGAAATGGAAGTTTCAAGAGACGCGGTGTACCAGATGTGTCATAGAAATAAAAAACGGCTTATTTCGAGAACAAAATATCCTCGATTTCAGCTCAAGTCGCATATTTCTATAACGGGTTACAATCTCAACCAAACATATACTTTAGAGCTCGACTTGACGTCTCGCTGCTACCGAG